CTTTTACATAATCCCCTCAATTCCTCTAAAAAAACCATACCGCTATTTTTTGAACACTAAATCATGAATAATTAATTGTAAGGAGCGATAAATTATAAATAATTAATTTAAACGACGGCAGCATGAATTATGGTGACTTTGCATGTCTTGGATAGATCATTCGACTTGTTCTATCTATATCTATTTACATTCCAGTAGAACTGTTACGGGTATTTACATAATTCTCTCATTTCCTTCTAAATCAACCATCCCGTTTTTTTTTAACATTGTCAATTATAAATAATTAATTTAAAGAAGCGATCTTGATAAGCTTAAAAATGGGCCCGAATTATGAAACAAAATTTGAATTCTACCCTTTTCCAAAGTTTTTATTTTATTTCTAAATTAGAGGATCCGTACTTCAAAGTGTATATAAATATAACTAGATATAGCCCCATTATCTAGGGAAATATAAACTGTGAGGATAAACGTAGATTTGTACAAAAATCGGCGTTTCTTAACATTCTCGAGATAATTACATATTGAGCGTATTTTTTAAAGCAATTTTCTGATTGCATCCATACATTACCCGGCGTCAATGGGCAGTGTATTATAAAACTTAATCGTTTAAAAAATACGCTCACTGTATAATAAAACGTTTCTTAACTTCGAATATTTCTAGTGGAATATTACCCCTCCCTTTCCCTGCAAGGTTATTATCGAACGATAAAGATCAAGCTTCATTTTTTTAAACGTCATCTTTAGTTACATAAAACGTGAATCATAATGGCCGATGTCTAACAGGATCGGGCAAAATATTTATTTACGATATTTCAAGCTGGCGGTTAAAAATTCGTCTCGTAGTAAGTTAAAAGAGAATGTAGGACTGTTTAAAATATCGTGTCATTCAAAATCAAACTTAACTCGCCCTACGTGAGGTCGTGGAGGTTGCACTTGTATTCATGACTGGGTCGGGTAAGCGTTAAAATTTGAGGGTACCTAGACGGAATAAGATTTTCAAGCGACTTCACCGACGACGTTTGGATCATCGCCAACGTAACGAAACGCGTAGTTGCAGGGTTGGAAACCATATTTCCTCAATTTTCCGACCTGTCTAGCGCTAGTCTAAGTAAACGAAAATCTACATTTAGACGTGTATAAATATTCAATGGTATATATCTGTGTACTTTTTATTTCCCCTCAATCGCAACGAGTCTCTTCAAACTCTACGGTCGATCACAATAGATTTATACTTCTTGCTCGACTTTACCCATAGCTTGGCCTATAATTTAATTCAATCGTTCCTTCCTAACCGTTAATGCACTTACGGTTGATTCGCGGAGTGTCGTTGAGCATATAATCCGATTACAAATCTGCTCGCACCTGAGAATAGTACAATGCACTGCGTTTGCTATGCAAAGCAATACTAGTCGTCGTTGTACACGCGATATAGTTTGCAAACATTTCGCAATCCGGCCAGAGATTGCAGATCCAAAGAGATCTACTCGACCCGTCACCGCGTCTCATTCAATTTGTCCATTATCCGCTGAACAACGCGGAACGAATCGTAACGAGATGAATGACCATTCTTAACCGCCCCGTCCTTTCAACGAGCTAGGAGAGAATTTGCATCTCGGATGTTATACAAATTCCTGGTACAACTTTTCATTCACCGAGTACCGAAAGTTAGCGAATGAAGATCTGCTCGTTCTTTTTTTCAGAGTACCCTGGAATTACGCTAGCCTCCTCCATCAGATATTTATTTCCCCTTGGTCCATATTAACCCTTTTAACATTTTATTACATTTTATTATATTACCATTATATAAGTGGAAAGGAGAAAGTGAGGAAATTGTCCACCAAGAGGTTCAGAATACCTGTAAGGAAGAATTAACATGAAATGCAAAAAGACTCGTATATTGACCCCAGCATTATTTTTAAGAAAGTATTGAAAGTCACTTGCCTTCTCATAAAAGTAATGACAGTTATTTCATTTACGTTTTGTTCAGGAACTACACCCTTCGAATGTCAACAGTTATCCGAGGAAATAACGCATTAATTTCAATGAAAACGTTAATGCAAGTTCTAGTCAAAATATTCAATTCAAAGACAAATGTAAATACTAATTTACCCTAAAAAACCCCCGAAAAAGCGTTTAACATTCCGAAACGCATTCCTATCGGAGTATGCAAACTTACGCCTACACCTGTCCCATAAAAACCTCCATTTCAAAACCGTCACTCAGGCGGAATCCATACGATAACGCTTCGAAACTACAGGGTTACCCGTGTACACATACCAGAAATCTTTAAGAATTCAGATTAAAAGACAACAGACCTCAGTAGGGGTCAAGTTAAATTAATTTCCGCCGGTTACAACAAATCCAACAATAAACTCGTATAAAGCGTGTTATTTCCCGTGCGAGGTTGCATTCCGAGCGAGCCGGCATTTCTGAAATGCGCAATTAACGTGCATGTACCTTCGTGCCGAGGGTGGTCGTTTAACGCACCCGGAGCATCAAAGGGAGCGCGTCTCCAGCCGCGAGCGAACCGCGACTGCGCGCGGTCCGACAGCGTAGAGCGGCGTAGTACGTATCGCGTACGTAGTATGCCCCCTCCCCTAGAGAGGGCAGGAGGGGGCAGGAGGGGGCCACTCCGACCCACACGTGTCTACACATGCGCGCGCCCACGGCGCCCAGCGTACACTCTCGCGGGCGCGACAAACTACGACTTATATAGCCTCCACCGGCGGCAACTTCATTCCTCACGGCGGCGACGCGAATCGATAAGCGGCGGCGGCCGCACACGATCCCGAGCCGCCGCCTTCCGCCCACAAGCCTCCCCACCCCCGACAGCTTCGCGCTGCTTCACTCGGCTTCGGACGACCCTGCCATCGACACGCGGGAACTTAGGAATGAGGAATGGGGTATGTAACGTGACGTCACGGAGGGAATGCGAAAGACCCGGGAACGACCGGCCGCCATCTTGCGCTGTGCAGTTTCGCATCAATTACCTTCAGTTTCTTTGACGATTAGATTCGAGTAGTTAGCAATCTCCCTTTGAGTGATCGAAGAGAATGTGGTACCAAATATCTTCTGCACGTGGCTGATGCAATGGTCATAACAGTCATAAAGAAAAGTCGAAAGGAATTAGGAGATTTTAAACGGATTCGAAGTTTCGGACTGTAACGATTACAGTTGTTAACTCCGTTATTGCCGTGAATGTTTATACATAGTTAAAGATACAGTCAAGGATTCAAACGAGACATGTGTCGTGGATTACGAAACTTTCCGTCGGTCCGATTTTTTAATACTTGTCATGTTGCTACATCGTTGACGATGACAATTGGCAGTATATATGCGGTATAAGCGTATTTTCAAAACATCTGTAGGCGCTGATGGGATGAAAGGGTTAAAGTGGGCGGTATCTGATGTCGGAAGGTAATTCCATTGTGCCTTTTACATCCTCGAACGTTACGCTCCGTTATCTTATTTCTATATACGTGAGTAAACATCCCAGCTTGTGCCACCTCCATATCCCACCTGCTCTCACCTGTTCTTATCGTCCCCTCCCGGTGCTAATCACGAGTGGAGGGGATGGTTGCTCTACGCGAGAGGTGAAATTCCCCCTTGAACGGGCTAAAGGGAAGTGGTACAGGTGTATCCTCACCTTCAAAGAACTCGAACGGTAGAGCAAAAGTGCTTTCCACCGTTCTAATCCGCACCTGTATTCAAACGCGTTGGACATAAAGGCCACAGGAAGCAACGAGCCATTCGTGCCGGAGCGGTCACGGTGGAAGGATCGGGCTCATTAGTTATAATTTAATATTATCGCATTAGAGGCATTCATTCACGCCTTCATCCCGTATAAACTGGTTTACTAAAACGTCAATTAAAGTTAAATTGCAAACGTTTCTGTATTACGTATAATTAAAGATAGGAACTCGAGCAGTGAGATTCAACGATCCCTCGTCGGAGAAGCGATGATCTGTGCCGAATGTTTTACTAGAATATCGCTAATTTGCAAATTAAGAACAGAACTTGGACGAATAGAAAATGAAAATGTTACAAAATCTGATGCAGAAAGTAACAAAGAATATCTATGCCCCATGTTTTGCAGCTATCGGAGGTTAGTGACATCTAGCGGTCCTTCTCTTCAACTATTCTATGTTTAGTGTGGACATGCTCTTCATCACCCGACAAGTCCAACGTTCCCAACAAATTTGAGGATTTCCATTTATTTCACTCGAAATGCAAAGAACTATGGCAAAGATATTTAATTGTGAACACAGGAATTTAATCCTACCTGCCGTGAAATTAAGTTCATATCTCGATTATGGTGAAATGAAACACCCCTAAAACTAGTTAATTCAAATAAGACACCCTTTTTTTTAAAGGTATTCCTCCAAACAAGCTGAAATTGTAGCAAGTGACTCATGAGCACCTAAGATGTATCCCGAATCTTTCATAATTTAGATTTTCGAAAAAATGTTGAAAGTGTCGGGATATTTCTTAGGTGCTCACAAGTCATTTGCACAATTTCAGCCAGTTTAGTAGAATACCCTTAAACAAAAGTGGCTTATTCGAATTGACGAAACGGAAGTTTTTAAATTAGTAAATAACGTCTGAATCTGCCGAATATTATGGAGCATGTCCATGCTAAGTATGTACATCAGAGATGAGTTGGGAGATTGCTCACGTGCAGGATCGTGCGTTCGTATCCTGTACTGCCCTCTGGTTTCGTACGTTAGTTTTCACCGTTTTTTGCCACCAAGGGCGACGCAACGAATTTCTGATAGGAGCTCGCGCACTCGCGATGGCGGTACCATCTAGCAGTCGCCGTTGGCGGCTCACGTACATACATACGTGTATTTTTATTTTAAACAACTATCTTAAATAAATACATGCATTGCGATATTTCGCCAACAAATAATTCAGACAAATTGTAGCAAATAAAAATAATGAAGTAAAATGAAAAATGCTTTTTAAATAAGTGATATGTTAGCACTAATTGGCTGCGGGTCTAGGCGTATAATCTTGTATAATCTTCGATTTTCAAATACATATCAAATACAATTTACGTAATTTTATATATCGTTTACATTTTTTTAAAGCGTTTATATAAGTTATATTTCTTAAGATAAAACTATTCATTTCAGCAGCAACTGGAACGTTTGCAGTGACAATTTGATGATTTTTTATGTCGCTCGCTGCAACTAGCTGCTGATTGTTTTTCTGCTATAATTAACTTTTTTCCCGCACTATTGTGCTTGACTTTGGTAACTTCAAAGTCGCTCGAATTTATTAATTGATCATTTCGCTTCAATTTTGCAGAAGACCAAGCAACACCTGGAGACTTTTTTAAATTAGGGGAAATGTTTGCCCGTTTTGGTTTTCCATCACACTTAGTATTCATATCCTTGATATTTGAAGAATTTATATTTTTACCTGTAGAAATGAGAAAAGAAATTAAGTACCATTCTTAATTGACAAATTATCCGTGCTTTGATAAGATTTTCTCACTTGACGGAGAGCAAACACCAGCTTGCTCTAAATGTTTTTGTAACATGACTAAAGTGTTCTGCTGTGATAAAATGTGGTCTGTAAAGAAGTACATTTGTTCGTTAAAAAAGATTACATCTAAATAGTTACTTCAAATGCATACCTGTCCCTGAAGTATGAACGTTACTGTGGAGTTTTTGACTTTTGTGAGAATTCATTTTCCTTAGACTCTGCTTTTCTGGTTAAATAATAATCATGATCATTTTGATTAGGTTACAAAATCCATCGAGTAAACATACAATAAAAGATAAAAAGAATTAACTTGAGATATAGTTACCATAAAATTCATTGCTCGAAGAAGAATGAGATCTATTCACTGAGTATTTTGTGTCATCAATATTACTTGTAGATTTCAAAATTAAGTTACAGGTACTACAAGAACACTTGCATCTGTTTTGTCGATGAATATTGTCTACGGAGAATATGATCACAATTATTCCATAAACTAATGTTTAGATTCTTTTAACTTTCCCACTCTTTTATACATACCTGGAACTGATGTACAAACGCTATCGCTTAATCTTCTGATTGAATGAGAATTGTCTCTTGTTGATCCTTCCTTTTCTATTTTAACAATAATAATGACAATTAAATAATGCTAAAACATTCTTTTTAGCATAGTATTTTAACCTAAATTATGAGGCGTTAATAATTACCATAGCATTCACTGGTTGAAGACGAACGATAAGTTTTATTTACTGAAAGTCTGGAATTATCTGTACTGCGTGTTGATGTCAAACTTAAATTACATGTTTCACAAACATTGTTACGACTTTTCACTGTAAATATTTGTTTAAATTAATCAATTTATACATTCATATTAATTTTATTTTATTAAAGAAGATCATTCAGTACCTGAACTTACGCAGCGACAGTTACATGGTGATGACACTGGAACTTGAATAATTTGCGGTAGAGGACTACGTTGACCTTCAAGATATCTATCAATGATCTTAACTAAAACATTATTTGTAATATCAATGAGTAAACATTTCCCAGATAACAAATATACGTTTTTGCAACGTATATTAAATATTTTTACATATTACCAGCCAGAGGTGCAATGATCGGAGCAATTGCTGGAGCAATAGAAGAAATGGCCTGCATTTTTCTACGGAAAAAAAAATAAGTTGTAGAATTTGTTAGAACTTGTGAAACATTCAAATTATGTAATGAACTATAACAGGATATAGCACTTTTCGTACGTTTTGAAATTGAAAACTAATTTAGATGGACAGTTAAATCTATCGTAGAGTATAATTATTTATTTAACACTTTTATGTATTGTTGATATATTAAAGTTCTCTATAATTTCAACAGTCCGGTTGATCCCATCTTTTATTTTGAAACCATACAACTCATAGACTCTGAAAGTGTACAAGGTCATTCCTATTATGATGCCAAATTTGATATTTCAAAACGTACATTTTCTCTCAAGGAAATCATAAATTATTGTAATCATTACCAATATTGCTAACTTTATTTGGAAGTATTATTAAAGTTCCAAACAACATACCGCTAAAACATCAGTAAAAATATATTAATTAGGGTTTCATACAAAGTTGTAGCTGTTGCGTATAATGCGGTTTATTAAATAAAACGTAATTTCCAATACATTATGAAATTGATATCAAGAAATAAAAATTACTAGTTTATAGGAAACAGAGGAAGTTATTACTTTATTTTGAGCAAACTAAATGTGTAGCCTAACAGTACTTATCAAACTAAATTATAATAGTTATTATTGTAAAAGAAATTCATCTTCTATTTCAGTAAACTCAATAGGGAAGTCAAACGTTGTTGTATTCATGGTAGCCAAGTTCCCTGTATCGGTAATAATTTTTGAGTCTTCCGTTCCATCACAAAAAGGAAACAGACCATCAGAATGAAATAACATAGAAGAGCTTTCGCAGTCACTGTTATTTTTGGTTTGTCGCTTAGACCTTTCTCCTGAATATGTACTGCACTTTTTATTAGCTCCAGATGACCGACTGGAGGACTTTGTACATGTTTTTCCTTCCGTTAAATTTCTTTCTGAATTTTCTGCTGTACAAATTCTACCCTTTGGTTTATTGTTAATTATACTATCTGAATGAATCAAAGGAACACTTTTTTTTTCTCTCTTTGTCGATGAACTAGCTGGTGAAAAAGATCTAATAGACATATCATCCTCCAAGTCTACAGCAGAAGAATTTTTGTTAGATGAACTTATTATTCGACTAGATTTAATAAAAGTACAAGTCTTGTTATCTTTTAAATTCTGAATAGTTGAGAAACTGTTTGTCGGAGCTGAGTGAAGTCTTTTGCATTTATCCAGATTTTTTGTTTTATCACTTACAATTCCAGATGAGGCCTGTTCTCTATCAGTATTAATGCCTACATCAGAGCGTGACAAACTTTTCTCAGAAAGGTCTGATTCCTTATTTTTATTTTTATTTGGAAAAACAATATGTCTTTTGTTTGAACTTGTATATTTTTGAGCTTCTATTGAGGTTTCTTGTTTACTATTAATCTCTGCTTCCTTTGACGATTTCATTGATTGATTACTCTTATCTTTGCTTGTGTCGTAAATATTTGTTACGTTGGAATTATTTATCTGCTGTTTATTCAAATGATTCTTCTCTGTGTCTTTCACAAATTTCTCTAAACGGTTCGTATCCTTTTTATTTGAATTATATGCATTTATGCAACTGTTTTCTTTTGTTTCTTTCTCCAAAGATACTATTGATGACAATTTAGTACATTCTGTCTCTGGTGGGACAAATCGGTGACATATTTTATTACACCGACCTCCATTTTGTGATGATGTTCTTCCACTTTCTTCTATTGCATTGCTGCTGTTGAATATTGTGTTTGCACTAGATGATCGATGCAATCCATTCTTATCCTTATCCAATATATTATAATGCTTCCGAGACTGTCTATCACTGTCAAATTGCATTGTTTAACTTAATATATAAGAGAAAGAAAATGAAATAATTAGTGACAATTAGTTGCACTACCTGATGAATTTCTCCGGTGTATACGTTTTGGATGAAGATGAGTGGTAAATGTTTCCGTTCTCATATTGTTCGTGAAACCCATGTCTCGGCATACTTTTTGACCGACAACAATGAAGATGACAATGCCCCTGCAAGTGCATTGGATTTTGAAGGTACTGCATCTGAACATTTGTTGGTTTTACTGATGTCGATGACGAAAGGTATTTTCCAACCATTATACCGACTGAAATTAACATTAATATAAATTAAAAGTGTATAGTAAGTGAAGTTGAAATCAATGTAAATTATTTTTGCACTTTGCATTACATTGTCAAGTTAAATACAAACTAAAGTGCCTTTTGCTACCTGTGACGCCCATTGCTGCACCACCCACCGCATAACTCATTGACTCCTGAGACTTAAACATTTTCTAGATCACTCGTAAATATCTTTGCTAAATTTAATTTTCTTTAATCCATACAAGAAATTAATATCCGAATAAAGTATTACAGAACGTTTTCAGAATGTAAAAAGGGAATTAATCCAGCTTTATTTTACACATCAAGTTTGCAAACAGACTTTACAGTTTTGACTTGACAAACTTTTATACATAAATCATAAAATAACCGACAGAGTTTCCTGCGACTTCATAATACTATAGACTGGTCGACTAATTTCACTTAGAATCGATAAGATATTTAAACCAAACACTGGACAAACGTAAGGTAAGGTCAAACAAAAACTATACACTGAAGTTCAAAACATGAATATACATAGTTTGGGCAAGCCTCAACTTAAAGGTCATGTATTTAATTTATACTTTTAGTTACAACCGTCATAAAATTGAATAGTATGCATTATTTCAGACAAGAATGATTAATCCATGTCACCTAAACAATTTAAACGTATTTTAAATGATGACAATAATAATTGGCAGATTTAACCCTGTATATTTGTATTTAGCTTAAAAAAGTTTATGGTTGAAAGCAGACATACAACTGCAAAGGATTAATAATCAAACGAAAAAATTACTATGTTTTTATTTTACTTTTTTGTATCATTGTCAGGAAGAAATAATAGTATTGTTTCTTACTCTTCATGTGAGCTTCTCAATATTCAACATGCACTCTGAAAATGAAATATTCACTGATAAATGTTACAACAGAAAATGTAAGAAATTATCATTTTGATTAAAAAAAAGGCAGTTCTAATTTAAGAAATTACATTTTATTTGAACTTTTATAAACTTGCATTTCCAGTCAGTTCTGTATCATGTTTTCAGTAGGACATTCAATCTGTACATTAACTATTGTAAAATGTGAATTTACATTATGTGAAATTATAAAAAAAATGAAAGCAAAATAAGTGGTATGTGGATTATTTGACTGTATGCAACTCAGGACTGCAGCTCTTGCTTACTGCTTGACAAAAAAATGCAAAAACTATAAGAAATCATAGGTACTTAAATTTGTAATAATTGTGGAGTACAATAAAAAAAACTTTGTATAAAATGTGATATTTGTTGTTTAATCTTTATAACTGTCTTTACTAAAGCACAAGGTGGTAAATTTTTGATTAAAGCTATCAAACATGTTTGAAACCATTTGAAAAATATTATTAATTAATACAGCCAAATTAAACGAATATAAATCATTGTAGCATGTACTGCAGAATTGGATAATAATTAAATTATTTTGTTTCATTCTCAATTCGTAATACATTCAGTTATATTGCTTCGGTTCAGTTTGACAAAAGACAGTTATAGATATTTACTATATGATTAATGGGAAATCATTTAAATGTGGAATAAAATTCTTCAAAAGTATAGTCGAATACATGTTTTCACAGTGATCGAGGAATTGCACTTCGGACACTTCTTTCTGTTCTCCATAGCAGCTTTTAAACAACCACCACAGAAGACATGGCCGCAGCGAGTGGCTGTAGGCTCCCGTGATGGCATCAGTGCGTTAAAACATATAGCACACGTCAATGGAGTTGGCAATCCTGTTGTTGAATCATCCAAGAGTGGTATCGGCTCTAACTCTGGATTGAATGGTACAGTCACCGCAGTAGTCTCATTTTCTGTTAAATTTATTGTGTCTCGATATACCATGGTCTCTCTTGAATCATCCACATCAGTTATAGACCAATCTGACGTCAAATGGCTAGAAATAAAAAATGTAATTAGCACAATCTGAAACAATTGTCGACCTTATACATGAATACATTAATGTAATTCTAATAGCCATTTGTATATTCCTTTATGATTATATTGTATTTCTTTTAAAGGACTGTCTTACATTCAGCATGTGAAAAGAAATAATAAAAAATTAAACAAAGTTTCATAAAGATTTTAACAAACTTTTGTAGCTATTGTCTTTAAATTTGAAATATAAGAAAGGTTCGAATATTTTACTATCGATTTGCAGATAAATACTCAGTTGTTTGCTGATGATGTCTGCCTCTGCGTGTTCGCTGGTTTCTTGTGTTTTGCTCATGTACTATCCTCTGCGGCGATTCTTCAGTTAGGTCTATCACCGCGATTGGGGGTAAAGTAGCTCGTCTTCGTCCAGGCATGGGAGTTCTTCTTGAGTATAGTATAATAGATAATATCACATAATGATCTGAAATAATATTTCAACATTCAACAGATAACATTACAGCATAATTCTTATTTAAATATATAGCAGCAGTCAATCCACACTACATTTTTCATTTTATCAGCTTTTATTTCAATTTTATGATCAGTGTATCTAGAACAGCTAAACCAATTAAATGTTATTCAAATAACAGACATACTACTAAATAAGTATTTTTAATATAAATAAGCTGACAAGATGTTAGGTTTGAAATACTAAGCAATGAACAATCTAGAAGTTCTAGGGGTTATACAAGATCTTTAAAAACGAGATTTTACTTACGTTTTAATTAATAAAAGGTTTTGATATTGTCTATAATTTAAATAGGCTTTCAATGCAAAATCCTAGTTCTCAGAATCCTTTATGGGTAAGACCGACAAAGAAACAAATTCGCTTTAATCAAAATACAGTAATACAACATTCACTCAGTTTGCTCAGATTGACGGTTGCAACGGTTGCAACGGTTGCCACCACTAGCTTCACACTAATCGTTTAAATTTGTTTAAACTCGTTAGGCACAGAGATCTCTGTTAGGTATAAAACGTTGAGTATATCAGAAATGATCTCTGAGTATATTTACACATTCTGCCTTACACCGGTTTTATAAAGTCCGCGCACTTGTGCCCAGTTCCACAACTCGACTTAACCGGAATTAAAGTGGTTTTGGAGCAAGCATAAACCGCGTGTAAATCAGTTAAACTTCTGTTAATTCAAGCTGTAGAACCGAGTGATAGTAAACTGACGCTCATAGATGTAAGAACATATGAACAGAGCCCAAGCCAGAAGGGGAATGTTGAGTAAGTAAGGGGGGAACACTTAGGAACAATTGGAAGCCATATTGTTGTGCCAAAATCTTAGCTTCCTCTGATTAGCTGAGATTTAGTCGTCACTTTAATAGCGACTAAAGAACGGTGTGGGCTGTGAACAAATAAACTGTGAATTAAGTACAACGACTACGTCTCCATCGTGCCGAAATCCGAGATTTATTGAATCCGGATCCAATAAATCCGAATTTAAGGGTCGATCGAGACGCTCAGGATCAAATTTGTGTATTTATTATTACTATGCAAACATGCAATTTACTGGATCCGGATCCGATAAATCGCGGATTTTGAAGGACGATGGAAACATAGTCAATATGCCACTTGTAGCATAAAGAAGGTTAAAAATTATGTTCAGGAGTGGCAAAAGGTAATAAATTAGAGCAAATAGAAAATATGAAGCAGATGACCTACCAATCAGGAGGCTGAAAAATGAGCACAACAATATGGCTATCTTACCTCTCCCTTTCCAACCGGCTTCCCCCCCCTGGTCTAAGATAGGACTTTGGGCCCGTCATATATTCTTACGTCCATGCGAATGAGAGATCCTGATTGGATGCGGAGAAACAACGGAATAGAGGAACTTCCGCAGTACGTTCTTTGAAGCCAATCAAAATCTCATTCGCACTCCGTTGCTCGTCGCTGTTGCGGTAATGAAATATCGGCTTTCAGCCTTTTTAAATTTTGCTTCATGTCACCGTTAAAAGCGCCAAACGGTGCAATTGAATGTAATTAACAACGATTAATGTCTTAGAGTTATGACAATTATTTATCGGATTCATCATAAATAAGTGTGCTGAACATCTGATATTTCACCCGTAAATAATACTCGAAGTCATACATTTTAATTGCTTACGGTATGTGAAAGAAAAGTATTTGTTTTTTTATCGATATGAAAGTAGAATAATTCAAAAACCAATTTTTCAGGTTCTATTCAAGTTATTCCTTCAACATGGACGGGGATATCGAAAAAATTCTCGGGCTTCTTCTGGATGCAGGACTTCCTGCAACAATCACTGATGTGAGGAATCCTACTGCTGAATTTATACATAACTTATTTATTGCATTTCTTTTGAAACATGGATATGATGCCAATACGATATTAAAGGTAATATTTTGAAGTATTGAAGCAAATCTAAGGTTTAAAGGAGAGTTAACCGAACGTCAAATAATCTTATAGCCTACAATAAAACAATTCGAAGCTTCAGTCAATCCAGATTCATCATATTATCAAATAATCAGTTTTGTGAACTTGTATGTATCAATGAATGAGATATGTCAGAAGATATTTATAACAGATTTCTGCCTCACCGATATTACAAGCCCAGGTATTAAAAGTATACTTATTATATGTAAATACATTAATTCGTTCATTTTCATTTTTACATTATTTTCACTTTAAGGACCAAAAAGAGCACGTAGACAGGCAAAGTTTCTTTCAAACTTTATCCTGTACAAGAATAAAAAAGTGATTGAAATAGAAGATGAAATGAAAAAGCCATTTAATACCTATAAGATGTACAGTGATTTTATGAAAAATGAAGAACAAAATTATGAAAAAATCATGCAAAAGGAACATGAAATTCAAGAACTACTGAAAAAGAAGGAAAAGGTTTATATTATTGAGTTTTTCTGATAAATATGTTTCTAGTTTATGTTTGTTATACAATTGAGTTGTTTGTTTTACACTTAGCGTCAGAAATTAATTGAAAAGATACGTCAACAATTTAAAGTAAACACTGATAAAAACAATGAAATAGAAGAATTACAGAAGATAAAAGAACAGAGCAGACTAAAAACCAAAGAAGTGCTCGAGTCTTTGACAGAGAAAGCTAGACAGGTTGGTACGAATTTTTCTTACACTTTTATAGTTACATTAAGTGCCCTGCAATGGTAACATATACTTTGCCTTTTGTTTAGGGTAAAAAAAAGGTTGAAGAATACCAGGCAAAGATTATAGTTTCACCTGAAGAATACCAAGCTCGACTGGAAGATTTAAAGCAGGAACAGAAATGCATGGAAGAGTCGAGAACATCTATGTTTGAGACCATTGGACATAAAAAGCAACAGATCACAGAGTTAGAAAAGAGACATAACATTATTCAACAGGAATATGAGAAGTTAGGAGAATTAAAGGCAATTCGACAGAACTGGATGTAGGTTTCCAATATAACTTAACATGTATGTATTGAATATTTCTTGAGTGGAAATTAAATTTTTTATTCACTACCCAGAGAAGTACAGAAAACATTGAAAGAAACAAACATATTGACAGAAGAATTAATATCTACAAATCAAAAATTGGACCATACTAATTCATTGCGAAAACGTGAGTGCCAGGACTATACTGATAAAAAAGATAAACTGAATGCACAATGCAAGGAAAAATTATCTCCTTTGCATAAAATGTACCTACACCGCTCAAAGTATGTATAAGTATTGATTTCATCTGCAGAAATTCTTCGCCTGTATTACGAATTAATAAACACGTTTTCTCATAGTGAGAAGAAATCAGCTACACTATCACTGGAGGAAACCCGTGCTCATCTGCATAAGATGCACAAAGAAAAAGTTGAAATATGTGAAACCATAAAAAATATTACATGCGATATTTCTCGCTTTTTAAAAATGTGCCAAGAAGCTTACAATGAGGAAATCAGGCTGGTAAGTGGTCACTTGGCATTTCAATTTTATGTTCGTTTGCAGAAAAAAAATTTCTTTTTGGTTTTTGTAGGAGCAAAAAACTGAAGCCCCATGGTCACAATTTCCAAACTGATTTCACAAGAAAGAGCTTGTACCACCATAAGAAATTACTCTAAAGAAAATGTAATGAGGCATCAACTAATATTCTGCATAACAAAAAATTGGGTAAGGGTACATGATAATGTCTTGCCAGTGGAGAAATCATAAATATAGGTCATGGCTTCTGTTTCCCATGTAGTTTGTTTTTCTTTTTCACAGGCAATTTCAGTGAATTTCCCACAATTGGGCAACAGTTGTTTTAGAATAATTTATTGCTTAATGTTGTGTTAACAGTAGTTTTTTACATTCTCTTTACAATATATATATATTTTTAATAACATTATGTATACATATTATTGAGTAGTCCGTTTCATAATTCCAGCAACACAACTTTTGTTGAAATTGTCAACTTTATATCATTGATGGAACATTTGATCTTAGCAAATTGCAGAACTATAGAAAATGTAGTGTCATTGTGTTTTTTATCACAAATCGATTAAACAGAAATGTAAAAATAATATAGAATATATTCCATAATGAGATATTGGAGAATTTAATGAAAAGCAATTAACCTTAACAAGAATATTTAATACTCTATATATTTTTTACGTTTTTACATTAATGATGAAATATGTTACAATGACTTAATGAATGTATAATCGAGTAAAATGATTAAATGGAAATAATGGAATGACTGTGGCTTCAAAATTATAAATTAGAACCTGTTACGTACCTTTAAAGGATAACTTTGTTCAGTGTAACTTTATTTAACTAATACTATTCTTGTAATACGCATTAATTTAATAATAAACACAAAGTGCAGCCATTACCTTTACGATCTTATTGCACATTATTTATTTTTTAATTATAAATAAATAGATGAAAAGGTACTGTATGGGTCGTTTTAAAAATTGCGATTGGTATTCATTGTTGGAATAGAATATAAATCAAACTTGTAAAGCGTTAGCAATCCAGTGACTAATTTAATTTTGGGAACTGTTACTTTCAAATTATTCATAGCAAACAAATTATCAATGAGATTGAAGTGAGTGATTGTGGTAAGGAAAATGATCTATTTATTATTTGTTTACTTAACTTATGCTGAGCTTTCAAATATTTGTTTTATTAATTTTCCCAATTAAATATTTGTATATATTAAAAGTAAGATAAATTATAATTAATTATAAAAAGCGCCACCAATCTAAACTATAAATAATAAAAGATCATTCAAAAATTAACATCAGTAAAACTCTTATTTGAGATCATTCAAAGACTATCGGCGTTATTAACATTCTAGGTTTTGAGAAAGATAAAAGAATTGATTAAACTGTAAAGTATAAAAGATATAATAAATAATTATCGCCGGCACACAACGTAGACACTACTAACGATTATTCACTTCATTTTCATTGTTGTTCCATTTTATATACATATTGACAATTTGAACAATTAACATCCATTGGCAATCGATATTTATAATTAAGGGAGAGAATGTACAACATTCATGTAAAGGTGTATATGGATTATTCTAATAGTAGTAAAGGGTATACGAGCACCTGGTCTCTAAAATCAATTAGTCCATAAAAATGAAAAAAGAAACATATAAAAGTTAACTTATAAACTAATCTATTTAACATTAATCGTTGATATTTTTCTATTGATTTAAACGTAAAACTCTAAGATCGCGTGAGTCTCGAGTATGGGGATAATTTCAATGTACACAGTTACTTGCCGTTATTCAGTAGTATGATCTAGATTACTCAACTATTAGTAGTTTTCCAAAAATCACCTTCAAACGTCTACATTCTTTAGTATAGGTACTCACACATATGGATATACTTATTTGTCATTTAACATCATATGACATTCTGGAGAATAAGTATCGGATTGCTTTCGATAGGTTCAGAACTATTATTATAATATATATGTATGTACATATTCCTGTATTCTCTAAATTTATACTATTTTTCTCATTGATATTGTTGTCCACACAGAAAGTACTGTTAAATAATCCATTACTTTAACGAGAAAATTACCAGTATCCATCACTGTGATTTCCTTGTATCATTCATTAGTTTCCAGCCGAGTAGCGTTTAAGAAATGCACTTCAATCTCTGACCGAATCAAGTGATTCATTGTTATTGTAAGCTGTAATGTTTCAGTGGTTTGTTTTTGAAATGTAAAAGTCATTGAGTACTCGTGTTTGCGAAAAACAGTTGTCTCAAAGTTGTCTAAACTACATCGGATGGCAGTGATTTTGCAGAGAAGTCAAATCTCGACAATTCGAGCAGTTTAAAACTGACGAATTTACTCTGCGTCTCAAGAACATTTGAATTGGTCAAGTTAAATACAGTGATTGATGTAGTGCTTCTGTTGCACTTTTGTGATTTTTGTTTGACAGAAGGTAAACAGAAGTCTAGATTGAAAGCTTCAAATCGTTTGTACGATGAGAAATTGTTAATGGCAACACTAAAGATATAAAGAAAAATTCTTCAGAGAAATTTACATGTATTATTTCAAAAAGTTTTCCATAATAATGAAAAGTAGGTACTTTCAATTATTGGACGCTTTCTGATAAATGTTTCTTATACAAATACTGTGCTGCTTCATAGTTATTTCACAATCGAAAATATTTCTAGCACTTAAGTATTTTTTAACAATTTCTCATCGACGTATATCTTCACATTGTTTGAGTAATTGGTACAAGAACTGATTAACTTAATTCCAAATCGCAATGCATATTGCCAGAGAAATTATATCTTTAAATTCGTACAATTCCTTAAAAGTGTTATTTGAACTTGAAACCAGCCTTAAAAGTTATCACTAATACATGTAGTTGTTTCAAACGTATAATCCTTTTGAAAAGGAATTTTCTAATCCTTAAGGCGAATGACGATTTCAATGATCCTGCTTAATCTCTGACGAGACATCATTTGCTTGATCTTTTATGTCACAAAGAGACAAGAAACCAAATCCTGTATCAAAGTCACGAGAGATTCACTCTCGCATGCTCGTATAACATTTTCTTTAATATTATCCATTATTAATGACATTTAATGTCGGAATTATCCTACTAGTTTCTAGAAGTGCTATATTGGATTCCATGGGTCCAGTGTTAACTTCTTAACGTTGTTATTTCTGATTGTTAATATATTTGTTTACTAATTCCCAGACTCTTCTAGAAAGTATCTACCTTCTGCTTATATTCTTGAACCATGTTTCAGTGCAACATTCTCTTCATCTTCCTTCGATATCAGCTAAGTTTCCTCTGTTTACTCAGTGGTACCATTACTATCAACATGTTTGAGGGCTATTATCCTTAATATTTGTAAATACTAGTTACAGCAAGTCCCACAATGAACCTGAAGTTCAGGTACTTGGGATTTAGCAGCTCCTCATTGATATATTTACGGTAAGATATAATTGTGTTATTACCGTTTTGCTCTAACCCAGATTTGATCGAAGAATTAACGGTTCTTCATTTTTTTTTTTATTAAATCTTACTATTTTCTCAGCTCCATTCTGTCAAGCAATACTAAATCAAACCGAGCTAACCTGCACCGATGACGTCATAGGTTCTGACTCACCGTGTGATCGCATATTGATACTTTGATCCATGCCAATATTATCAATGACATCTGATGTCAAGGCCAATCTTTCAACTTCCATAAGGGGCACATTTGCTTCTGAGGAGCTAGTATTGCCCTCGTTGATAGTTTTCTTCCTAATGGCTAATCCATTCCCACTGCCATCGATTTCTTGAGGCTCACCATTAAGCACCGACTTGCTGCCCTTGATATTCTCCTTTGACGACGTTTGCGAGGTCATTTTCTTCTCTTTGTCACCCGTACTCACGTAACCATTTTTGGTTGATTTGGTCTCCTTTTCTTTTGGTTTTTTCCCGAGGCCAGGGAAGCTTCCCATTTTGGAACTGGACTTTTCTGATTTCTGATCTTTGGATTGGCGGGTTGATCCCATCCTGGTTGTTTCCTCAGTCTCATATTCCTCAGTTATGGACACTAGATTACCCTTGCCATCTCCAGCATCTGCATCATCCTTCACCACTTGGATCGGAATGTCATCTGTACAGAAAAAAAAAAAGAGCGTATATGAGTCGAAAGTACTTCTACTAATTTGTAAATTAACTGTTTGACCAGATCACGGTTCTAAACTGAAAGTAATCTGGAAATAGAATATTTCTTTTTTTTTTTACATTGCCTACATCCGCCCCTAAAAGTTACTACAATTCCCCTGACCATTAAACAAAGTTAAGAATTCAAGTCTTAGATCGGAAAAAAGAAACCTCAACAAAATCACCGTCGTCAAGTAAATTACTGATGTGATTGTTCAAACAATATCACTTATGTTAAAACGTCTCTTTGCACAGTATCAAGAAGTTCTCGTCAAAATTCTTAACGCTATCACTGATACGATTAACGGTTATAGTACATATTTTAAGACGCAATAGTGTGACGAAGGTGCACGTATCACAAAGAATCGTTTAAAATTCAACTGTGATCGAAGCGATTTGAGTGGTGTGTACTCGTCTGTCTAATAATACTTATAGAACGAGCAGATGCGTGCTAGCTTGTTAGGTATTCAAATACTTGATTAATTTCGATGACCCTCTAAGAGACAGGTACATCCACGTGCGTTCATTCTATAGACATGCACTCTTCAAGTTACAACGCAGTATTCGCGTGTGCTTTACTCGTGGCGGTGTATCTGAAACGAAGCCATGACATTCGTAATTTTACACGAGTCCGAATTAGCTGAATCTAAATCTCGCATCTGTGAAGGTTGACTTCCAGCAGCATACGTACAAACACAAGATATCTTATAATAAAACATTGGAACATGACCAAGAGAGAGAATCAGTTTTCATAAATAACGTTAAGTCTCGCGATTAAATACCGAACACATTCTGGAGGTGATTTCAGAGCAACAATTCTGTGCATATGAGCCATTCATGCTACCCGACGAACACGTGAAACATAAAGCCCACCTTCATTGTGCCAGTGATCCGTTGAAAAATGGTGAAGAAGAATCAGTGTTTATAAGCGACCTCTCTATTTGCAAGCACATAACAGATTCTTGAGGCAATATGGAGCAATGATTCTGTGAACATGACTCCATGTTGCCATGTAGTCGTGTCAAGTGATCATGAGTACCAGGTATCAGCGGTCATTGTAGAAGAAGCACGATGACCGGTCTGTCTACCAGCTGGAATGTAAGGATCATCCGAAGGTTCTATGATAGCTTCTCCGAGAGCACGCTCTTCCAGGAGTCTGTACAACCGAGCCCCTGCACTGGACCTGTTTTCTTCCATCGACTCGTTGCCTTCTTTAGAGCCTCTGCGAGGTCTTCGACGTACTTCTTCTAGAATATTCCCAGAGCAATCGGTGGAGGTTTTCTTTGACTGATCCCTGCTTCTCTTTGGCGAGGACCTCATCGGAGAACCCTGAATGCTAGTGGTGCTCTCTCGTCGCGAACTCTCCTTGGAAGAGGGAGACGACCTGGCGGCTTCCTCCTCGTCCACGGTTCCCCTAAGCGATGGCTTCCAGCTTCTCCAGCCTCGCTGTTTGACAGCTGTCGTACTTGTCGTCTGGTTCTCGGACTCATGTTCCTGCTGATGGGCACTTCTTGGTGTCTCCACCGAGTCAAACAGTGCTTCGTCTAGGTCGTCTAATGACACATATGCACGGATGTGGATAATATCCTCTAAATTCGCCTTTCATCGAGCCCTGTTAAGCCTGAGATCAACCTAACCTCTCGTGGCCCAACAACTGTAGTGCAATTGTAATGGCGCTGTACTTGAATGTTTCGACGTAGGTTAGTAACAATTGTTTGGTTTAATAAGTTCAATACACTTAAAAAAGATTTTGGACGGAAAGTTAGAAGTATTGCGAAAAAGGAGAATAGCTGCTTAAGCTTAACAAAGTGCTGTAGAATCTGAATTTAATTCAGTCCACAGTCACTTTTAAAGTGCTTGTTCAGCCTAATATGGAACATTTCTTTGAATAATGAATATCAGATTTTGGAGATATTTTGTAACTCTTGCTTTCTATATTATTTATAAAAAAAAGGAACAATTTTTTGTCTTCTATAAGGCCCCTGCTTAAAACGCTTTCAACACCTGTTAATAAAATCTGTAGATGCAAAACTAAATTACATGTAATTAAAGGAACAATTGGGACACATACATTCTAAAGAATATCTTTTAATTAATAGATATTCCTAATATTAATCATGCCAGTAAGAGGTCTGTTTGTTTACATGTCAAAATTTATATTTCGAAATATCCTGACTTATTTGAATCTGACACTGGTTGACACTAGTTCTGAAATTTCAAATTGTAAACTAACAGACCTGATCAATCTACATTTGAACATATATGTATGTGTATGTATCAATGCACACTTTTCCCAAAAAAAGAATACAGGTGTTTAGAAAGATACCATTATAAATAAAATGATCAATGTGTATAATTCATAAAGGTTCTACCATTCAACGTTCCACTATACTAAAATGTTATTACATACACAGAATGTAAATGCCTTGCGCTTATTAATTTACCTGGTAACTTTTTGGTCCTGAATGATGCATTGGTAATCATGGATTTGGACACTGGTGCCCCACCAGTAGCAGGTGATAATGCGACACCTACTCCCATTGAACTGTCACCTGTTATTCCTATGAAAACATTAAAATTATAAGATATATTCCTAAAAAATCAGTTTGGCCAATAAATATATTTTCATACTTTTTAACTAACACCATATAATAAAGATAAAAGTACCGTGTTTATTTAACAATACATGTATAGTTACCTGATGGACCAGAACTACTGGAATTACGTATCGCATTTGTCACTAACATCACATCTGGGTATCCTTCATAGCAAGCTCGGTTATGAACGTCCTCCACAGCTTGTCCCGCTATGTACCAACAGTCATTGTACCTACCAAACAATAATGATTCTGATTGTTGTTTATTTGTTATAAAATATGGCAAACTTACACTGAGTTTTGACAGCACTTGGTCCTCCCTTTATTAAATTTATACTTACGTAGAACAAATTTACATTTGAGCTTGTACTCATGCTTTATTACTACTTGAATTTGTTTTCTTAACCTGCAGTTCACTTACAATTTTTTAATATCATATGTATTCTATCAAATAAATTTATAAGTGTAACATAAAAATAATTATATATAAAAAATCAATTGTATTACATGCCTAATATTTCTACAAAAACTGTAATGTTATATAATGGAGTACTTACATTGCAAAGTATACCGCGTGAAGAAACTCTAGAAGAAATTGACTCGATACAGGTATACGAGGTAGAAGTCTAGGTACAAAGCTAGACTCACTGCCATAAGATGATCGTTGATGATGACCTGGTTTCATGAATCCTTGAGTGACGAGTCTACGACAAAACTAGGCAATTACTTAACAATGTGTAATTATGCATGCAGATGGTATTTACATGCATTTTGAACTTGGAAAATATTGAAGATTTTAAAAAAATAATTAAAATTAATTGCAAGGTGTTTTAAAATTTGTATAGCATTAAACTAACTTTGTTGCAACTCTGCATAATTGCTCCAGGGCAGACTTTGGTATGAAACCAAGTTGTTGATTGTAAATAAAGAGTAGTCCAGTCATAACTTTTAATCGGTTCTGAGCATTAAGAATTTCCACCTGTTGTACAGGCCCCCAGCAGACAAGTTTTGAATTGCATTCTTCGAAACGTCGAACTGCGCTCTCTGTTAATGACGCTGGCGCCAAACTCATTGGCTGTATAACATATCATAGTAACATTTCTCATGAGTATTTTATATTCTTTTTTTTCTTGTGCATGTTATTATAAACTAACCTCGTGATAAACCGATGACATAGCAAGAGACGGTAGTCTGAAAGAAACTACCTTTGGTTGTCCGGATTTGTCCACAACTTCCAAATTATATAATCCTATGAGAAGCGTTTCCACCGTGCGACAGTTCTGCTGACAGATATCATATTGAAATCATTAATTAGTTTTAACTAAAAAAAAAAAATTATAACTTTGGTCCAAATAATTAATTTAAAACATGATAGCACTCAAGTTTTGTTATGACCCTCATTCGTATGGCAATTTCTTTAATCAAGGTATAAGACATCCTCATTGAAACATGTACTTGGAAGCACGGATATGCAAACTCTCTACAATTAGTAAATTGATGCCTCAAGCAATCACTCATATCAGCTTCTGTCGTGCAAATTGCACACTGAGAATATTGCATAACACAATATATACCATTTAATGACTCACACTGTTATTGTATCTAATAATGATAAATGACGAAATAGATGTCATTAAGTCTGAATAAAAGGAGGTCTACTATCAGAATGATATTAAATAAGAGAACCATTACCTCTTCTATACATGTTTTTTTTACTTACCTTGATATCACCATGAGCAATAGCATTTAAATAAATATATATTAGTGTTGGCAGAAATTGCAGAGTAAATCTCTGCAGTTCCAACTCTCGTGACCGATAAAAGCTAAATAACTGATTGCAAACAGTATCAATTAGCTGAAAATAAAATAGAATATTATAACTAACAGAATAGAATTTGCTTTCTATTTATTATATAACTATAATAATGATTTATCAGTTTCATTTTTTAGATACTCTACTCATCGAAGATATTAACCAGTTAGCTGTGTTTGACGAGTATACTCATCAGGAAAACACACGTTTCAAATAGGTCGATACAGTTAACTGGTTAATTGATACAAATAATCATTATTAGAGCTTTAAAATCGAAGTGTACCTGACTATACTTGCTCCGCTCTTCTAAGAGTACATAGAGTGCTCTGACTATCTCATTGTCTTCAGACAGTGTACTGGCAAATGTGTGAAGCTCAGAAGGCGACAGATCTGCACAATCGGCGAGCCACTCCATTACAAGGCTCTCCGTCATGATCTTCGATACCTTGTAGTTCGTCAATACATTTAAATTCAATCTAAGTACAGCTATCTTCCCTTTAATTTCCACCAGGTTTTACTGCAATAAAGACATTTATCGTGATAGAAAAAACCTTGCTATAAAAATTTGTGCTGTCTTGAAAGAAAATAGTCATGACTGATTTACCTGTTGCCCTCGCAATGCGCATCTAGGAAAATAAGGAAATCAGTGATGCCAAACGTCATTACTACTCGTTTCTGTCACGCATAGCACGCACCTTGAATGCAAACCAACAGCAACCGCATATTTAACATCTATCAAGGAGCGAAATCCACACGAACCACTACAAAGCACCACCGAATCCAACGAATTGAAACGAGTCAAGTCTATTCGAGACAGAGCAAGTCAGAGCATCGATCGTGTTATCAGTCGGAAACCTAGATGGATAATTACTGCTTCGAATTGGAACGGTTGTCAGTTATATTCGTAAAAGCAATGAATTAAGATGGATTCTAGAGTGAAATAGTATATATCTTCAAGCTGGATTCTCATTGTGGGATCCTCCTCCGCTTGCGCCTCGTAGAATCTTTAAGCCGATATTCATTCTTACGACGGCATTATGCGACGAAGCGAACAAGAGGTTCCGACCATCGTGAGTGCGTGAGCCGCCAGCGGCGACTGTTAGATGACACCGCCATAGTGAGTGCTGTGGCGTCAGCACCTAGGACAACGGTACCGCATACACGGTTCAGGCAAACGCCGCAAGCGGCGCTCCGATAGGACAACGTGCAAATACACCTTAGTCCGCCGTGTAGATATATAAGTAGTAAAAAAAGTAAAAAGTCTAACGACGGAATTACCGCCAAAAATGTGTGCTCTATCAAAGCTGTAATAAAAGAAAGTTTATGTACGCCAAATGGGTTTAATAATAAGTATTGTGATAACGTCCATAGTGTTTTATTCATCATTAACGGAATAAATGATAGACGAGTGAGTCGGGTAAAAATAGTGCTAACACGCATGTGGCCGAACGCGCCATAACTGGTGACCCCGACGTGATCATCCAAAAAGGATGAGAAAAAAGAAGACGACTCGTTCGTCAGATACGCCTAATACGTCGATCGACGGAAACAAAGACAATGAGGATAACCCCATAATTGAAGGCGACGAAGAAGATATTCAACAGGAAGCCCAAGCTAGGTTCCAAAATAAGGAGAAAATGCCCGAAACACCTTCCACGCTGAAGCTAAAATTGCCGCCATTTTGGAAGGAGAGCCCAAAATTATGGTTCGTACAAATAGAAGCAGCATTCGATATTTATGCTGTTACAGCGGACGACGTTAAGTTCAGGTATGCCATTTTACATCTGGACACGTCCATATTACCTCTGGTGTCGGATATTATAGAATTCCCACCAGAAAAGAATAAATATGAAGCATTAAAGGAACGCATAATACAGTCATTAGACGAAACAAGTGAAACAAAACTTCGGAAGCTTCTCCGAGGACAATCCATAGGTAACGAAAAGCCATCGGTCTATTTACAAAAACTAAAAAACTTATCCGGAGGACAATGTGGCGATTCAGTCCTAAAAACATTGTTTCTCGAACAGTTACCAGAACATTCTAGATCCATTTTAGCAATCTCCGAGGTGACAGACCTCAACAAATTAGCAAACTTGGCCGACAAAATGGACGAAATGATAAAGCCAGTTATAAACGAAACTGCGAGTACTTCGCAAACTACAGAGCCACACGTCTCCGAAATAGATTTCAAAATAATTGAATTAACTAAAGCTGTAGAATCTTTAACACAACAGTTTCAGCGTTCCAGAAGTCGCAGTCGAAGCGACCGCCAAGGAAAATGGCACAACCCTCAACAAAATAATAATCATAGAACCAATACTTCACAAAATGGTCTATGTTACTACCATTATAAATTCGGAGACAAGTTCTACAAATGCAATAAACCTTGTTCATGGGTTAACCCGCCTCCTCGAAGGGAGTCGGAAAACTAACGACCCGACCTCACCGCCAGACGTGTGAGGGCGGAATGCCAAATAAAAAGCGTCTGATTATTACCGACAGGAAAACGGGTGCAAAATACCTGGTTGATACAGGGGCAGATGTATCCGTCCTCCCAAAAAACCTAAGCAAATCAAAACTACTACCCTCGCCTTTTAAACTTTATGCAGCCAATGGCACTCCAATTAACACTTACGGCGAGAGGTCCATTTCAGTAGATCTAGGCCTGCACAGGGAATTTTCATGGACATTCCTAGTAGCAGATGTCTCAAAAGCCATTTTAGGAGCTGATTTTCTCCAATATTATAAACTATTAGTAGACCTAGCAAACCAAAGGTTATTAGACGGAACTACAACCCTATACTCACAGGGACAAGCCGTCAATACCAAAGAACCTACTATTTTCACCTTAGATGTGAAATCTAAATCATATAAAATCCTCAGGGAATTCGTCGACGTGACGAAACCAACACCAAAAAAAGAAGGAATACATCAAGTCCAACATCATATAACCGTTAAAGGAGCCCCGATAGCGGAGAAAACACGCCGCCTCCCGCCATTTAAATACAAAGCAGCCAAACAGGCAATTGAAGAAATGATGAAAGAAGGAATCTATCAACCTTCATCCAGCAACTGGGCTTCACCCATCCATCTAGTTCCAAAACAGGAAGGAGGATGGAGATTATGCGGTGATTATAGAAAACTAAATGCAATCACGGTTCCGGATCGATATCCGTTACCCCACATACATGATTTTTCATACATGCTCCAAGGATGCAAAATATTTACTAAGCTCGACTTAAAGAGAGCATTTCATCCAGTTTCAATGGCCGCAGAGGACCAATCAAAAACAGCAATAATAACTCCGTTCGGATTATACGAATTTAAAGTAATGCCATTCGGATTATGCAATGCTGCACAAACATTTCAGCGTCTAATCGACACAGCACTTAGAGGACTAAACTTTTGTCACGCATATATCGATGACATTCTTATAGCTT